AGGCAAGTTTCAATTTTAAAATGTTGTCATTATCATTAGTTTAGGTGTCTAAGTATCATCAAAGAATACCTCACTGTTTTGTCACCTCTAACTTTGACAGAGGAACCACAGTTTATAGTTTGGGGTCAACAAGTATTATCTCAAACTGTCACCAAATTACTGACTACCATTTAGAAACTCTCTGACATTAAGAAGTCTAGGCACACTCAAAGGCTTGGTATCCTCATCTAGAAAACAACACTCAATATATCCAAAGAACTTCTAAAAATAAGTAATGACCAAAATATACCTCCTCAAGAAATGCTTTCTGTTGTTATTATTATCGTTATGTTTTTGTTTTATTAAAGGCATTGTTTTCCATTCAATTTAACATAAAATTATATTAAAATATGACAAAATAAGCAATGGTCAGAAAACTATTTACTTAGTTGTCCTTACCAAAGGGAAGAGCCTAAACATTTACATAAGTTCATATTTCATTTCTTAGAAGAAAATAACCTTTTCCCCCAGTATGTGTTATTGGAGAGTTTCTAGATGTAATCTTCCAAAACTAGTTATAAAATGATGATATGTTTTAAAACAGTGAGAGAAAGTGAGATGTACGTATTTATGTGTGGTACTCAAAATGACCTGCTGTCATTCTGTGTCAAGTTCAGGAACATAAGAAGACTCAAGGCTGACAATCTTCAAGTAGCTGTCAGAGGAACATATGCAATGAGAATATGGCAGGAAAGCCCAATTTTATTTTGCTTTCAGTTAAATACAGATTTAAAACCTTTTTCACAATCAGGAGGAATGCTACGTAGCCATGACTTCTATTTTGAAGACCTTGTCTCAGAAACAGAGTTAAGAGTTTGATGATGAGTTGAGAGAAGGTCAGCTATCTGGTCAGGCATCTTATCACAGTCTTAAATAGATTTTGAATTTTCTTATGTAATAAAGCAAATAGATATTAACTGAAGGCAGGAGAAAGAGACGAATAGTAATTGAGCTCTTTACAGGTGCTCAAATGACTCTACCGCTTTAACTAGGTACCAAGACCATCTCCTTTCTAAAAATTTCAGTTGATTATATTGTCAAAATATTTCAGGAAAACATACACATAGAAGTACATCACATTTTGATGAAACAAGTATGTCATAAGTCAACAAGAGGAAAAAAATGACATTTATAATACCATCAAGGTTTATAAACTTAAATTTCTAGTTCCTAAAAACATATCTTTTTCATATCACTTGCTTCATTGACACACCGAAAAATTTCAGTAAAAACGGAATCATTCTGGGTCAGTTTTGCCCTAAGATGAACTTGCCTGCTTAGCTTATACTGCAGATCATTTGTCTTTTAGAATTCTCATCAAAGGCAAATACTCATTGAGGTAACTATAGAATATAACACATAGTTGAACATAAAATATATTTAGTATTGCTGAATATTTTCTTTTAAAATCTCATGAAAATCATAAATGTTATTTTTATTTTTTTCAGAGATATATGATAACTTCTTTGAACAAATCATCTGAAATAATAATTTTATTTTAAAAATCTTTAAAGCACATACCAAATGTGAACATACTGATTTGCCTACAATTTCCATTTTGGCGTAGAAAAGGGACATCATAGAAATCATAAGGTGAAATCCATGATAAATTTTGACTGGTAAAATGAACTACCATATTTCTATGAGAGAATGAGGCTTTCCCTCCAAAGATACTTATCACAGTCCAAAAACAATGAAAAACTATTAAAAGAGAACATGCACTGTTTACTTCTTCCCCACTTCCATTTTCTACATTCAAACACAGATACCAGAAATACATTCACTTAAATATGGAAAAAACATGAATTTCAGTAAGAAGGTTAAATTTGTTAGCTCCCTGTCATTGTAACAAAACATCTGAAGTAATAAAGATAAAAAGAAGAAAGTCTTATTCTGACTCATGGGTCAGTGGTTTCAGCCCATGGTCAGTTGGGACTGTGGTGAGGCAGACATTCATGATTAGGATCATGTCATAGTTAGAAAACTGTTCACCTGAGAGAGTAAGAGAGGCCAGTGAACACAGAGAGAGAAAGCACGAGTTAAATATGCTTTTCCATTGCTGACCCTCAATGATCCAACTTCTTTTAGGCCTAATTTCCTAGTTTTGCTACTTGCCAATAGCACCATGAGCTTGGTATCAAGCCTCTAACATCTGGAATGTGAGGAACACTTTCCAAAGGACAGCAATAAGCTTCCATACACACACACACACACACACACACACACACACACACACACACACCACTACTACATTTAAAAGTAATCCATGGGGCTGGATCAGCTGCTAATAGTATGAGCAACAAATTTTAGAGCTTACAAAAATCAGACAAGTATGGCGGCCCTGCTGTAATCCTAGAAGTCAGTAGCCAGAGATGGGGATACCCAGGGCCAAGATGGCAAGCTAGACTAGCCTAATCTTCAAGCTCTAGGTTGAGCAGAAGGCCCTACATCAATTAATAAAGTGGATAGTAAACAAGAAAGACATCTGTTGCCAGCCTCTGACCTCCCTACATACTATTGCACCTGCACTCACACCCTTGCAAACAGACATACACACGTGCACATAGACATGTAATTATTACAACAATATTTCAGGAGTCTATATATATAAGTGCAAAATTTATAAATGACAATGGAAAATTTTGGGTTAATAGATGATAGATGGACAAACACACAGAGATGGTCCAAAGACTTTATGAAGTACCATCCATTCTCCTTCCACCAAGGTCCCCTTCTTGCCCTTGAGGTAACAAAGACATAATCTCATGCCTCCATACTGTTCAGTCTTTTCTCCGTCTAGAATAGGCTTCTACCCAACATGTACATACTCCGATTCCTTCTTACCTTGGAAAACTTCCATTCATACTTAAAAGGCTGAATAATAATTCACGAAGTTTTACCTAGAGGCTTTAACCTACTCTGTCAAAGTCGGAGTGCTCTAGAATATTTCACTTCCCTTGTGATCCCTGAGAGCAAAGATAGTTGGAATTCAAAACACTTACCGGAGTCCTTGGGAAACAGTGTGTTCAACAAATACTTTTTGAATCAATGACTTACTTTCATGACTCATCCATAACAAATTCACAGGTATTTCCAGGCATAAACATCAAATAATAGCCATGATATAGTTTTAAGTTAATAGAATTGTTATAGTTTAAAATCTTGTTCATAAAACTATGAATATTATATGCTATAATCTTAAATTCCTGCAGCCTAGCTACATAAGGCCACTTCTGTAAATAAACTCAGGTAATGTTGAGTGAATTGGGGCGTTCATAATAGTTTGCTAATATAACTTATCCACATTCCATACAAACAGAAAGTGCCATTCCTAGAAGAGAACTTGATTCACTCACCATTTCGATCACAAAATGATAACGTGCACTAAATATCTGTTTTCATGTTATTGAATGATATTGATCATGCTCAAACAGATTCTTTAGAGAAACAAATTTTTCCACCATTCACTTTTTGATGTGAGAATAATCAGGTACATAATGCAAATTGTCCATCACCACTGTGCAAGATTCATTTCTGCATAGTACTGAGAACTTAATGTGTGTCATGAAACTTACCAGGTTAGCTCAGGAAGCACATAAACAAATACATGTATAGTATAATATTGAACTCTGTGATCTCATTAGAGTTCCTTTAAGATATTAATAATTTTTAAGTATTATAACATTTTTTTCCTGCTAATTCAAGAAAAACATCTCTCTACATAGCTCAAGTACACAATAAACAAATTTATTTCAGTTATTATTTCTGTAAGTATTATAAACATCCTATGTGCATTTTTTCCCAAAGTATATATCTATCTGGAATGTGGGTAGAATTTTCTTTTGCATCTCAGATACCAAATCAAGTATAGTCATTTTAGTTACTGTTTTTCTATCATTTCCATGATCCCCTTTCTAATGAGAAATGACCTTTGAATGAGAAAATGAAGAATGCATGGCACATAGGCCACTCAAAACTCATCAAAAATTCATCTGCTGAAAATTTCTCTAGTATTCCCCTGCATTAAAAATGTATTATATACAGGATTTTCTTCTTGAAAATTTGCAAATGATAAATTTCAAAATTATATCGCTCATATTTGTTTTCATATGGTTATTTTTCTTTTTAACTAAATAAAACATCTAGGAAAGGGGGCATGCGGATGGGTTTAAAACTCCAAAAATATTGCAGCACATATTGAGACAATCTAATAATCTCTTCACACAGACCTTTCCAAAGACCTAATTTTTTTAATCCTAGAGAAGGCATGTTCCTTTCTAAATTCTATTTTTATAAAAGAGAGAAGCATTTTTTGTGTGTGTGTTTCTTATTTCAACTATTTTTTAAAGTTCTTTGCTTAGAAAAAAACACTAGTAGCTAAATTTATTCCTAGAGAAACTGAAAAAAAAAATGGCTAATATTTTAGTGTGAGCGGGAAATATACAAAAGTCACTTGCTCTGCCTTCAAATAGGGCAGATAGCACAGGCCAAAGAAAAAAAAAGAGCTAGGAAATAGCCAAAGAAGCTGGGAATTCCAGAGGCCACCATGTGGAAAGGAGGTTCTGTGGTCCAGTGAAGTCTGGGAAATGCTTATGACTGCGCAAAAAAGGTGCATGGGTAACGGAGGGCTTCTCAGAGAGTTTAACATGCTAACGTCTATTGGAAATCACTTCATACATTATAATAGGAAGATGTTTCCAGACACAATTATTTAATAATAAAGGTTTTTTTCCCCTTTTGAGGGGGAGTGGAGAGAGGAAACATATCCGGGCCACTGGCCAATGTATCTGTATAAACACAATTAGGTCTTGATAGACCTTATTTTCTTACACATATTTCCGCATGACTTTGTATCGATATTTACCTTCCTTATAAATTTATGTATCCCTTTGACATTTGGTGTTGCTTCAACAGACCCGTGTTTTCTAATGTGCCCCTTTCAGAGGAAAAGAAGTACCAACCTGAAGGCCTCGAGGTACTCAACGTCTCCCATGGGAGGATCAAGGCCTCCTGTCCAGGCAATGTTTATATTGTAGCCTTCTCCCAGGCCTATTCCAACCTGGGGAGAGAAAAACACAATACGATGGCCAGGGAGGAGGGCAAAGGGAAGAAAGCAAGAGGAGACGGGACCGAGCACGTGGGAGCTCTTGAAATAAACATCAAACAAAGCGTCAAATCAGCCCCGCTTGCTTGACAAGCAGTGCTCTGCGTTATACACTTGTTCTGTGCTGGCTCTTGGTCCTGTGGGACAAGTCAGTAATCTGGTGTAATTTAAAACACCAGCAAAGGACAAGAAAATTAGGGGTAATCATGCAATGCAATTACCTGAAAGATACAAATAAAAGTGGGGCTCTAAAGAAATAAACCGAACCTCATTTGGGGCTCCACTGCCGGGAAAAAAGTTCCCTTCATCATAGCGATGGAGTGAAATGTACAGGATGCTGGGGTCAGCATAAAAGGCCTGCTGTGTACCGTTTCCATGGTGAACATCCTACAGGGAAAAGAAAACAGATGACAAATATCGTCACGTCGGACTCTGTGGAGACAACCTTTCTGATTTCTAGTCCTCTGTCTTCCTACCCCACCCTCTTTCTCATTTTCTGTCTTCTCACTCTGTCTCTCTTTCTCTCTTTCAGCCTGCTTCCACGCCACCCCCTTTACTTCCTGAACTTTCAGGCAAATTACCCTTTAATGCTCTCATTTTTTAAACTGGCTTCTAAAAATCAGGAAACCACAGCGAGCATGCCCTGGAGACTCCAGATGAGCAGTCATTGAGAAAGCCCAGTCCTTTGGTACAATTAGATATTTATACACCGGCTCTTTGTACTCTTTCCTTCAGTGATGGAATCTTGCATCCTGTTTTATGGAGGAATTTTATGACTTATTAACTGCCAACAGTTCATAACCCCTCAGGCTTAATTAACTAGCCTCATTGGCCTCTGGAAAAAAATAAAAAGACTAATGTTTAAACTGCGAACTAGTCTTTTCCAGGAGGCTCCATGGCTTACAGAGCATTTTCTCAGTTCTTGACAGAACACTAAACATACGTGTGTGCCTTGATTTGCCAAGTCCCACCATTAAGGTCAAAGGCTTTGCAGCCAGCTGAATAAATTGGCTTTCTTGAAGCCTTCGGTTCAGTTAGTGATCGCTCAGCAGTTAGAGTCACTTCAAAAGAGATGCCAGATGGAGAAAGGACTGCATTTAAAAAAATCATGATGGCAATTAGCTGTTCAATCCTTTGGGCCAAAGCAGCAAGATGGCATAGGGCTGTAGGGAGTCTGGTCCAGTCTGACCTACAGATACTGTATCATGACTGTCTTCCCCACCTCCTTCCCCATCTTCTGTCTTTCCCCATACCACTCCAAAGTCACACTCAAAAAAGTTACTAAAACTAATAAAAGCAAAATTCTTAGGACATTTGTATATGATACTGATTCAAACTTGACAGTCCTATTGATTTATAATATGGACACGTGTCAGAAATTATATAACTAATGAGAAAAATAAAATGAATAACATTTCAAAAATATCCTCACTTAAAAGATTGTATGTATTAAGGATTTCAATTATTGCATTCAATATCTTCTGAGGAAAAAGCAATTGGAGTGCTATTGAAAGTTAAGCTGCGTATTTTACTCAACAGAATATCATTGTTACATTATTCACATATACAGTGTATAATATTTGGCTCAATTATAAACGACCTTGGTGATTTGTAACTATTCTAATACACTGTACTTTACTCACATTGTTTTCATAATGATGCCTACCATTTTTTTAGGTCAGCACAATATTAAAAACCTTGAATTAATTACTTAAAATTTATATGGATTATGTGGGATTATTCCTAATCTAAAAGAAAAGTAATGCTCAAAGAGTTTTCAATAGTTTACTCAAAATATACAAACAGTACATTGTAAAACTGGGTCTTGAATCCATTTCTTACTGTAAATGACAAACAGTTAAACTGCTAAGTTGAAATATATTATCTTTTTGATTCTATTAATAAGCTTATGAGGTCAAGTCACTGGCAACTAACTATTCCGATTAAGGTTTACAGAACCCTTTTCTTCTCTAACCTCCAGCCCCAAACTCCACTAGACACCTTCAAAGCCTCCCTTTGAGGGCTGCTGAAAACCTGTACTGAGCTTGCTACCCATGGTGTATACATATAATAATTCTCTCTCAGCTTGCCAAGCACCTATACCCAAAAGTAATTACAGAATCATAATGCTCAGACAAAAATGAGTCATCTCAGAAACTTGTTTCAGTCAAAGACATACAGATCAGAAAAAATATGTCAATTTCTGAAAAATATATTAATTATGATTATTCAAAGGAAAGGAAGAGACAGAAAAATGGCAAGAATTGAAGCCACAATGAATTTAGTGCTTGCTACTAGATATTTAGAGTATGTAGGAAAAAAACGTCAAACAATCCAAACAAGCAATTGTAAAGGGACATCTCTGCTTCTGTCTTAAATATAATAGTCAGGGTTTTAATTGTAATACGAATTTTGTTCTGAGAATAAATGAATTCGGAGTTGGAAAAGCAGAAAAAATACCGCCTTGGTTGCCGTTATTTCTCTAGGGATACTGAAAAGGATTATTTAAGAAAGAGGACCAAAAGATGATACTTTGATATAAAATCATTTCTTCTTCAAAAAAGCACGGGGCACTGTGAGTGCATACATTTTGAATAAAAATTAGTAATGTCCACAGGTCATTAAAGATTTTAACAGATGCTATTTATTAAAATACACATGTGCATTCTAATACTTGGGCAATGCTGATCTTGTATTTGCCAAGTACATAGAGATAAATGTTGAATCCAAGTATGAGTTTTGTTTTGGGCAACAACTTATAGTACAGCTTTGAAGATATCTTCTTTTGCTTGTTCTATTTTCCTTGCCACAAATATCCGTACAAACAACTGATGGCTCGGGAATCATCTGAGCTTGTTTCTCTATCGCTACAAACCTATACTAGACTAAGATAAGAAAATCATGTGTGCCTCTGAGAAATTGCCATAGAAATGAAATTAATTAAATTATCAGTGCCTTAAAATAGGTCTTGCATTTAAGATATGCTCAGAAATGTAGAATCATATCCATATTTTACTGATTAAAATATATACTGAGAAAATTGATTCTGTACAAGATTTTAGAGGCTATATATTTTCATTTATGTAAAAATAGTTTTAAATAAATCATGGATTCTGTCAGCTAATACTACTATTCATAATTATTTAGTATGTGGACTTGTGACAAAGGTCTAAACATCCTTTATCAACATTTGAATTTCCTAAAATCTAAGCACATTTGAAGAACATTTTCTTTTTTTTTTAAAAAAAAAAAGAATTTTAAAAGAATTGTGTTTCCTTTGAATTGCCTTTTGGGTAGAATTACCTAAAATCTTCATGTCTCATGCAGAGAGTCTGCCTCATGATCATGTTATTGCCATGGACACAATGATTACCTACTCCCTCTTCACACCAGTGTGCACTTGAGAGAAAGGAAGAAATGAATGAAGGAGGGGTTCACACACCATTATAATCATACTTGCGTCACTTGCAAAATGCCTCTGAATTAGGCTGTGGCCCCAAATAGAAGGTGAGCTGCAATTCTGGCTCTGTATTTACTAGGACATAAAAATGTCCAAACTAGCTATTACATGATGGAGTAGCTCTGCCTTCTCGGGTCCCTCAAATCTGTGGTGCTAGTTCACACCCCCAGCCAATGCTCAGTCTAGATCTGCAGAGATGAAGGTTTTGTCCCTACTGAAGAGCTTTTGCCTCTTCTCCTCTGCTAAGTTGTAGAATAGACCTGTCAGCCAGGGAGAACGGATGTCTCAGTGCCACGTGGCACTTTAAAACTTCCTTCTCAGCAGCTGGAAGAAACAGGAGTTTCCTCAAAGTAGCCCTGCAGCTGCAGAATTTGGAAGACTTGAAAGTAAGAAAATGTGGGTTGGTGGTGATCTCAGAGGCAATCCCTTGGACAGAGCTTCATACGCTGAGAGAGTTTGAAACAAAAACTTCTCATCTGCTGGTGCCTTTTGGGAAATCGCTATCTTTTATGATTGGATACCAGGGCAAATTCACAATCATGGGCCAATAACTTACAGGAAACTGGCTCTTTTGTGCTACCAAGTCAATCATTTTACAAATGGGATCAGGTTATCTCCAGCAGTCTTTTATTCCTGTAGTAATGTACAAAAACAAACTGTCCATATAAATGCTCTGCCATACTACGAGTCCATCCATCACAAGCTGGGCACGACAGTTTTGTGAAATTCATTACTAATGAGTCTGGGTATCAGGAACGTGCTTTCAAAAGAGACTCTTAACAGTCACTGATATCTTCAGAGAATCCTAACGTGTTACCAGAAATTTCTCAGAAAGTATATGATAAAAGGTTCTTCAGCAGATGAACAGCTAACCAATCGCCTTCCTACATAATTTTAACCAATTTAGAATTCCCAGATTCCTTCCTCTTTCCACACATCTGATTTTCATCTGCCATCTTTTATTCAATTTGGGAGGTTAAGCTCTCTAGCCTAGTACTTACAGAAGTAATATCTTGGGGCTGGAGAGATGGTTCAGCAGTTAGGAGCACTGTCTGCTCTTGCAGAGGACCCTGGTTCTGTTCCCAGCACCCACATGGAGGCTAACAACCATCCATACCTCCAGTTTCAGGGGATCTGATGCCCTCTTCTGACCTCCATGGGCATTGCACTACAGAGGCACACTTACATACATGCAGACAATATAGTCATACACATAAAAAAGTAGCATCTCAAAAGCTGGGCAAAACTATTTATGACTTACAATATTTCAAATGTATATGAGAAAATCTGTGTGGAAGTTTTATTCGTGCAAAGCTGTAAGAACTCACTGCTGTAGTATATCTGCAGGTCTTCAACAAAGGTCTTTTAATAGTGAACTATGACCTACATTGAAACTTAAGCATGTTTGGAAAAAACACAGAAAGCTGGAATTCAATATTCTTCCCTAAAAAAAGCTCGTAGGAAGGCCACAAAATGGGAAGTATCTATTCCAACTGAGCACTAGAAGTGGTCATCAGTCTTCCAACTCTTTCATCTTCATTTTAGTTTAACTAACTAGTTCTTCACATGACTTTGTGCTCTCTACACCCTTTGGGGTGCCTGCTTAACTAAAGCTGAGGGCTGGAGGTAGAGGCCATGACTTCCAATAAGATTTAATTATGAGTGCAGATATGAACAAGATTTAGCTATTAAGGCTTTCACTTCAAAAAAAAAAAAACTTAGCATATTTTGCCTTTAAATCTTTTATCACCTGCAAAAATTAATTAAGTGCAGATGCAGCAGGTTGGGTTTGGATGCCAGGGTTCATTTCCTGTCTATGCTTTGTCAGACAACCTATTACACCTCCTTGTGAACTGCAGGCAAACTAAAAAGGGGGCTCATAAATCACCACTCAGTTCTCCCTCGCCCTTTCCTGGGTTGGTCCTTTCTGTATGGGGCAGATCTCTAGCTCATTATTCATGAATATACTTTAGACAACCTGCCAAGTGTCATCTGCATTTAAACAAACCATTTGTTAAACAAATTATAACTATTGTGTAAGAATGCATCATGCTAAAATGCAAAACCAATCCAAAGCCTCTGACTTTTAATCTCCTAGGGTTCCTGTGGGGAGTCATCCCAAACTGGCATCAGAGACCTGAGATCTTTTCAGAAAGAATGACATGCTGACTTGTTTTAATAATACCACTGTTGCCCAACAAGCGATGTGATTGCTAACCAGGGGAAGTGGCCAATTGGTTACCAAAGCAACAACATTCTTTCCAGCACATCTGACTATTTAAAGTCTATATTCTATAGGGAAAAGTAAATTCAGGTTCTGTTGGGTTATTTTAACTGTGGAAGTATCAATTCATTTAAGGATCATAAAAGCTGCCCTGATCTGCGCCTTCTTCTCATTAAATTGCAGTTAACACCATGAAAGTGAAACGTGAATGTTTATGGTTTCAGAACTGCAATCCCGAATTTAATGAGTTTCCACATTCAAAGGAAACACACCCTTCAGTTGTTTGCAAGTGCTAAAAGCAAGACAACCTAACAGAGAAACACAAATCCGCTCCCTTTTATCTAGAGTCACTGAAAATGCAGCTCTGGCCAGGCATACATACCAGATCTACAATCAATATCTTGCTTATATTTAGTTGGTCTCTCAAGTATTTGGCCGTAATTGCAACTGAATTAAAAAAGCAGAACCCCCTGCGGAACAGAGAAGAACAGAGAAATAAGAAGGCAAATCATCCAGGAAACCATTATAAATAATGTTCAGAGCATTTTTAAAAATGCTATATGATCTCTGAAGCCATAAATCTGCTTCTGGGAGTACCTCGTGAGAGTTTTCCGTGCATCTGCTAACAATTAGAGGCTTCAGAACATGCACGGGGCAGGTGACTGCCAGGAACCATGGCACTTGGAGATGGGCAGCAGGCCCTGGTACTTACATGGCTGCGGATTCTTCAGCGTGATGGCCTGGGGGCCTTACAACAGCAAACCCGTTCTGGAAGAACAAGACAGGTTTTCAATGGTAGGGGGAATTAGACTGCTTGGATCTCCAAGGCCTGAAGGGGCCTCACATGCAAAAGACTGACTTCTCTTAGGCACATCCCAGTTGGTCTCCTGGCCCCTATCACCATGTTGCAGAACAGCCTAAGACAATATATAGGATCCTGTCTGCTCAGATCCTGTCTCAAGACGAATGCTCCTACTGAGCAAGCCATGCAAAGAACAGACTTGGGAGTCATATCAAGCCAGCAGACAAACATGTCAGCTGTTAGACTTTGTGTGATTCATTTGCAAGAACAACTTATTTTATGACATCAACATCCTACACAGGGAGGAGAAATTCACTCCTGGTACAGGTTTGGGTCAAAGTTCGGAAAGACTAGAGAAGATCCAAAGTGAAAATTCCTGAGCTGGGTCCGTTCAACCGTTATTTCCCCTTCAGTGTCAGCAAAATGATAAATTTACACTCACACACTACCATAGACACAAAAGAAACCCCAGAAAGGTGAAAACGAGAACAATGGAAAGTCATATTTCTTCCAGTCCATAAATTTAGCTTGGATGACTGCCAAGGCTTGCAACTTTATTGGATTCCGTAAGTCAATTTCTAGCCCAAGTTCTGGAATTTTATAAAGAATTCCAGGGCTAAGCAGCAGTCAGATCTGTCCATGATCAAGGAGTGCCTTAACCTACAGGTTAGTTGGGACACATCACAGAAAGCTGAAGAAACTCCAACATGAAGGCCAAGGGCCATAAATCTCGCAAAGCCGCATGCTCAGAAACGATGGGTTGTCTGCCCTGAAAAATAATCGTTTATCACGTGGTTCACACCACCTTTCACTTAACTATGATTCAAGGAGCAGGCTCGAAAGAGAATGCTTCTTTAATACTCAATCCATAAACTTCTGAAATAAGACAAATATGTCTATTTCCAGGACAAACTCTCCAGTGAGCTCCAAACCAGCTTATTAGCTCCCACACTCAGCACATTCTCATGGGGGCAAGTTCAGCTTATTCAAAACCGAACTCCTAATCTCCCACTATTACTTGGCAGGGACACCAGGGTCCATCCATTAGTTCCAGTTGAAGACCCATGAGTTCTCTTTCCTGACTCCTTCTCCCTGGCCTTCCATTTCATTTTAGTTCCTGGACTATTCTTAATGATTTCATTTTGAAATATTACTTACATTTATATTCTAATTCTCATATCCATTTCTTCAATATTTTCTTTTGCATTGAACCCAAGGACACAAGCAATCAATCAGAAAGCTATATACCCAAACTTTATTCAATATTTTGCTTTTTAACATTTTAGTTTTTCCCATTGTTATAATTTCCCTGAGTTATTATCTGGCAATATCTATACAACCCTCTCAGTATCCCGATTTCTCCATTTTCTGATGCTCTCCCTTAATCAGTCAGTTTATGCTCACCTTTCTAGATAGCTGTCAGAAGTGACAAAATCCCCTTTATGATTTCAGTGCCAGGAATCCTAATCTCTCATGACCTCATCTTCCTAGCTGACTTTGTTCTTGCAATCCATTGACTTATCTAATTTTTGCTGACCTCCATGTTCACTTTCCTTCTTGCCTGGGTTAGACTCCAGGGCTGCCACTACATTCACACAGAAGCCCATTCACATTGCTTTAACAAAATTCCGCAGGTTGGGAAGCTCCAGCAATAGAGATAGTTCTTCCTGACTGAGCTCTATCAGGGTCTGGTTTCTGGTGAGCTACTCCACACTTACAGGCTGCTCACTACAGTACTTACATGGCTTTTCCTCTGGGCACTCAGAAGAGAGCTCTGGTATCCTTTTACCTAATATAAAAGCACCATCTATTGGGTTAAGGCCCTCATAACCTCATATAATCTTTTTCACTGGCTTAACAGGCCCATGAATTGGGAGCTAAATATTGAAGTCATGAACTCAGAAGAGGTACAAATATTCATCCCTTCACACTCTCTCAGTTATTGCCCCTGTTCTCCTCCAAAGTGTGCTAGTAAAATTACAAGCCTGGTAAGACATAACATATACCTGCACTACCCCTGCAGATATCTAAGCATACATACAAGCCACATGTCTAGTTGTCCTTTCAAGTTACAATCCTAACTCCCAAGTGCATTCTTCAGAGTGCCTAGAAATCACACTGCATTCCTTAATCAATGGACTATCCATGACTTCCATATGTATCTTTCTTTCTACCTTCTTTCTCAAATGTTCACTAAGAACTGCTCACTCCCTTCATTTTTGATGAAAAGTTGCTTCTCATATCACTTAGAAGATAAAAGAAGCTAGAATAAAAATTTCCACATGTTCCACTGAAAATAGACCCGCAGCAGTCCTTCATTCTGCTGCCCTACGTATTCCCTCTCCTCTCTCTCTCTCTCTCTCTCTCCCCCTCTCTCTCTCTCTTTCTCTCTCTCCTCTCTCCTTTCCACTACGGTTTTCCCTCCTCTCTCTATATCATTTTTTCTTCTGCTAAAATGTTGACGTCAGAGCAATATTCAACTCTCATCTCTTTTATAAGAATATTTTATTTATTATTTTTATTATTTTATGCGTATGAGTGTATAGCCTGCATGTATGTGAGTGCACCTGTGTTGTGCAATGCCGCAGAGGTCAGAACAAGGCTTCGGATTCCCCTGGAACTGGAGTTAAGGACGGTTCATAGCTGCCATGTGGGTGCTGGGAATCAAACCCGGGTCCTCTGCAAGAGCAATCGGTGCTCTTAACCGCTGACCCATCTCTCCAGCCCTTAACTCTCATCTCTGAATGAAAAGGAATCAAAACTTAATGGCCAATGTGGTGCTAACAGGAGGTCAGACTTTTAGAGGGAATTGGTCATGAGAGTTCCTTTTTGAAAAGGGGGATTAAAGTCCCTTTAAAAGAAACTTCCTACAGCCTTTGGGTTCCTTCCTTCCTTCTTTTATCATCTTGGAAGCCGAGGGTAGCACGTCCTTAAGGATCATAATGCAAGCACCTTGACATCGATCTTCCAATATTCCAGAGAAAATCAACTTCTATTCTTTATCAGCTACACAGTTGGAAGCATTTGGTATTCTGTTTTATCATAAATGGAGGAAGACATTCTTACAAAGCTGCCAGACCCTGCTACTGAGGACTCATCTCCATTTTTATTGGTGCACCACTTAGGGTGGTTGTTTGATTTACTTTCTTTGATTGGTTTTGATTACTGTTATTTGTATGCTACAAGTCCACACCCACTTATGAAAACAGCTACATTCTCCTCATTATTTGGTTCCCTAGACTGTCATGACATTTGTCATGAGCTGAGGATATGGCTCAGTGGTACCGTGTTTGCCCTGGGTTGGATCTATTACACATAGAAGAAAAAAAATACATTTCAGAGTAGATATTAGTCCTCTCGCTCCATCCATTTCTCCAGTCTGATGTTGGCTTCAAGTTCTTCATTTTCACACGTGTTTTGACTTAATCTTTTAGTAGGTCACTATTAGAGAAATTCACCTATTAACTTGGAGAAGATCATCTTTTAGATTAGAATTCCCTAGAGATGCATGAAATACTCATAATATTTAATAAATGGAATCTATCTGTTCTGTTTTGAATATTTAATGTCTCCTACAGGCTCATGTGTTGGAAACTTGGTCCCAGCTGGTGGCTCTATTTTGGGTTGGAGAGGAAACTTTAAGAGGCAGGGCCTTGCTGGAAGAGGTAAGTTACTGTGGGCAATACCTTTGAAGGACATATTAGATTCTTGAACCCTTCCACTGTCTTTCTCTCTGCTCCCAGCTGCCATAATGAGTTTAGGAGCTTTTTCTGAACCACACTTTCCATCATGATGTTTGGACTTACTATGGTCTAAAACCATGCAGCCAGTGACCTTAGACTGACCTTAGACCTTAGACTCCTCCTCCTCCTCCTCCTCCTCCTCCTCCTCCTCCTCCTCCTCCTTTTTTGTCTGTTTCTCAGACAGGGTCTCCCTGTAGCCCTCGCTGGCCTGGAATTAGCAATGTCGACCAGGCTGGTCTTGTTTTCACAGAGATCTGCCTGCCTCTGCCTCTGGAGCACTGGGGACTGAAGACTTGTGCCACCATGCCTTCTTTTAAATTGTCTTCTTTTAAATTGTTTCTCTCAGATATTTGTCACAATGACAAGGAGCTGATGTACACACTTTGGTTTTGATAAACTTGGCTGGGAAGGACTTCAAATGAGAATATTAGTGTTATAGAAATTTTTAGATACTCTGAAATTCTTTAATTTGTTTAGTATTTTCCTGTATCCCTTCATGACTGGCCAAGATCTGTTGTGTCTGTAGAAGCCACTTGAAAGAGGATTCCCCTTGACTCAAAACCTCTCCAATGAATATTGTCAAATTATTCCTTTCAATACTTAATTTTATTCCTCTTAAAACATAATAACTTACTACCAGGTGTGTTGGTGAAGGCCTTAAATTCCAGCATTCCGGAAGCAGAGGCAGAGGCAGATGAATCTCTGTGAATTCAAGGCGAGCCTGATCTATATAGTAAGTTGCAGGCCAGCTGGGGCTATAGGGAGACCCTATCTCAAAAAGACAAAAACCAAACAAACAAAAGCTAAACAACTTATTAGTCATAAAATATAGCTATAATAAAAATGTTTATAGCCACATTGGTTCAGTACTTTAATCCCATCTCTGTCTGAGGTCAGCTCGGCTCCCTAGTGAAACCCCATCTCCAAAAAAGGAAACAATGATCAAAAGAAAGAAAAAGAAAAGGAGTGAGAGAGAGGAGGAGGAAGAAGGAGGAAGGGAAAAAGGAAGAGGAAGAAAAAGAGGAATGGAAGGAAGGTAGGAATGAAGGGAAGGAGGGAGGGAGGGAGGAAGGGAGAGAGGGAGGAAGGAGGGAAGGTAAGAAGGAAGGAAGGAAGGAAGGAAGGGAGAGAGGGAGAAACTTCAGTGTTAAAAATAACTAAAACAGTGAAAATAATAATCTAATACTACAAAAACATTTGCTGACTGAGTAAATGGTAAAGGA